AGAGTGCAACCTTGCTTTTTTAGTAGCATATAGCGTGATTAATAAATTATCTAGACCGATCAAGAGTTGATTGAGTCAAGATTAATTTATTGGAGTTTGATTTAATTGGGTCGGTTTGGTTCCTTCGGTGGCTTCAAAATAAGAACCAGAATAAATTATAAGAGTTATAATTTATTATTATTAAATGTAGAAATATAAATTGATTAAACCAAAAAGGAAAAATGTGTGTCTTGCATGTGCCAAACATGTGCTATGGAGGTTATGATTTGGATAAAGACAAAAGAGAATCGTAGTGGTATTGAAAGTTTTGAAAAAATCAAACCACTAGACATGTACCTTTTTGGTGGGTTAATTAAGTGATATGCACATATCTTGTTTTGTGTCCACACATAAGAAACTAAAAAAATCTCTTACATTTTTGTCATTGGTTCTCGAAGAACACTGGAAAAGGCCAAAAGGCTTGAAGGAAGAATTCTCAAACAAGGGACTTAAAGGTGGAATCAAGGAGATCAAATAATTTTTGGTAAACCCTAAAGCACGCCACAAGGTAATTCTTAAAAGACTTTCATTCTTGTTGATACACAATTTAATAAAAATCCTACATTTTTTCCAACAACAACTTCTTCTCTATTTTCTACTTTTTTTCTCTGATTTCTTCACTTTCGCTGCCCTCAAATGCTGGGGTGGATCCCTAGACGTGAAGAAGAGAAGAAGAAGAAGACGTGAAGAATCGACAAAGAGGGCAGGCACTTGGGCTGATGATGTGGGCGGTTTAATTGTGTAAAACAATTAGGCCCTATAGAGGAAAGGGTCCAAAACTCTCCAAAACCAGCAAAGAGGTGAAGAACCCTTATTAGTTATTTCCCATTAGAAGCAGAAGTTGCGGCCGACGAATCAGTGTGCGTGCGACTGTGTCTGGGTAGACTGCGGAGGTAATTCTCGTGCTTCTTAACAGCTTCGACTCCCATAACTGGTAATTACCAATTAATGGGACTTTATTGTAATTTTTTTCATTGAATAGGATCCATTTCAAACTTCAGTTTTGAGTTATTGTCAGACAATATCAGGTACTTCATCTTCGTTCTGGCTTTTGCGTGCTTATACCTGCAAACTTCAATAAGTTGATTTTTAGACCAAGTCGAAATAGAATATGGAGTTCTGTTTATTTTTCAATTAGTTCTTGTTGTGTTTGACAAATTGTCTAGCTGGGCTCTTTGTATAATTTTCTCTAGCAGTAGAATTTGAACATGTCACTCTCTCCTTTTTCGGCTAATCCAGTCATTTATGCTGAAGTTCAAAGTAGAAAAAAAGGACACTAACCTTAAAAATTGGAAGCATGTGGAATATGATTTCAATATGATACATGAAATGCAGTTTTGCTGAAAAAAAATTGTGATAAGGCAATGGTAGAATTGACAAAATAATGTGTTTATGCTATACATGTATTGTACATAGTTGATAGTTCTTCAATATTTTCTAGAATCATAATTTAAACTCAAAAGGTCTAGCCAAGGTAAAGATTCGAATGGCAAAATTGGGCCGATCAAAGAAGTGAAGGAATCAAATCACTCTTTAAGATTGTATCGTATATTTTTTTAGAATTTCGGGTTGTATTGAGTTATATATATATATATTGTCATCTTAAGGCATTTTGGAATCCCATTGAAGGCCTATATAGAGAGAGGCTAAAAACTTTCTCTCATAATTCCTCTTCATGACCTCACTAAGCATCAATGGCTTATCTCCATATCCCTCCTTCAAAATCTCTTTGGCAATCTCAAAAGCGGTACAATGAAATGATACAGTTTCATCAACAAATTTGAAATCAACATCATCTAGACCAGTATTCTCACTTTCAATTTCATATTCCATTTCCCCTCTAATGTTCTCATCCATACTAGAGCACTGATCATTAGAAAGATGTACTAAATCATCCAAATTCTGATCCAAATTGAAATTACTCTTTTGAAAGTCATCATTTTGTGTTAGGCATGATCTTGTATAGTCATTAGTGATCATACTGTTGTTATCAATGGTGTAATCTTCAAGATAATAGAGAAAATCAGTGAATCGTGTTTCTGAAAAATCAGCTAATTCATCTATGTACTCATCTGACTGATTTGGCTTTTGCTTTTGCTTTTGATGATCACCAGGCGAGGAGGAGAAGGAGGAGGAGGAAGCAGTCAACTCTTTGTTTCGTGCCTTTAGCTTGCTAAGAAGAAGGTTGGTAATTTTTGGGGAAAGAGATGAAGAGGAAGATGATGACGAGGGAAAATGAGGCCAGAAATTCTTTCGAGTATTTTCCCCGCGAAGCAGGCAAGCTGCCTCATCATAGGCCCTTGCAGCCTCCTCAGCTGTGTCAAAGGTACCTAACCACACCCTTATTTTTTGAACAGTATCCTTTATTTCTGCCACCCACCACCCCGATGGCCACTGTCGAACCCCAACAAATCTCTTGCGCGCTTGGTGTACTGTGCCTACTGCTACCCTGGCTGCAGCTTCCTTAACCATTTCTTGTGAGACAACATTCCCTTTATCAGTATTCTTTTCATCCACCCCTGCACCATCTTTTCTCTTCCTAACCATTTTCTTCTCGTTTGTCAAAAGAAATACTTGTTATTGCTTCTCGCCTTTTGTTTTCGTTTTTTTCTCTTAGGTTATGTTCACGTGCCAATGATTTGTATTTATATCACCCTGCGATGATCCTGCCAAAGGAGAATTTAGAACTGAGTCTTTTTCTTGCTGTTCAGACTCTTTTGTTCTTTATAATTATATTATTATATGGAAAAATCTTTGTGGAGGGGAGG